AGAGAGATTGGATGGTCTAGTTAGGGCTCTTGGTAACGGATCCCACCTCTCAATTGTCCTGTCTCTCTGAATTGTGGAGAGTTACCTCAGTTATCCCACAGTTTCTTAAAATTCAAATGTAAACTAAGCCTGAACGTCCTTGTATTCTAACAGTGATACTTTGTCTAGCTGTTATATGCCACTGTGAATCAGGAAATAATGAAGGCCCTTGTGTAGAAAAATAGGAATCATAAAGTCCATGCACTAAACCTCCTCCTCTTTTCTCCTGGGAGGGCCCTTACTCAGAGGTTCTTTCCTCCTATTTTATTCTTATTTATTCTTAAAGGAAGGAAACCAGCATTTATTAAACACCTACAAAAAGTGCTAACCATTTTACAAATATTATCTCATTTAATCCTTAAAACAACCCTGGGAGGTAATTACTAATCCCCATTTTGCAATTGGGGAAACTGAAGCAGACAATGGTTGTAACTTGCCCAGGGTCCCACAGCTACCAAGCGTCTAAGGCTGCATTTGCATTCTGTAATGCAGTAGATAACGTACAAGTCTGGAGTCAGGAAGGATTATCTTCCTGAGTTCAAATTTGGCCTCAGACACTCAATAGCAGTGTGACCCTGAGTCGATCACTTAACCCTGTTTGCCTCAGTTTCCTCATCTGCAAAATGAACTGGAGAAGGAAATAGCGCTCCAGTATCTGTGCCAAGAAAACACCAAATGGGGGCAGCCAGGTGGCACAGTAGATAGATAGAGGACTCGTCTTGGAGTCAAATTCAGCCTCAGATACTTACTATCTGTGTGACCCTGGGCAAGTCACTTAACCCTGATTGCCAAGGAAGGAAGGAAGGAAGGAAGGAAGGAAGGAAGGAAGGAAGGAAGGAAGAAGGAAGAAGGAAAGGAAAGAAAAGAAAGAAAGAAGAAGAAAGAAAGAAAGAAAGAAAGAAAGAAAGAAAGAAAGAAAGAAAGAAAGAAAGAAAGAAAGAAAGAAAGAAAGAAAGAAAGAAAGAAAGAGAAAGAGTTACGAAGGGTCAGATCTGACTGAAATAATACAACAACTTTCTGATTCCGGATCCATCATCCTCTCCACCACGACACTTAGCAGCCTCTTAACAGAATCTTAGAGTTAGAGTTCCAACCCCTCATATTATAAGTGAGGAAGCTAAGATCCAGAGAAGTTATGTAAATTGTTGAAGGTCTCCCAGCTAGTTGGTGGCAAATCTAGGAGCACATCTCAGGTCTCATAACTATTAACCTAGCACACGTAGCCAACCGTAACAAGCTTCACCTCATCTTAATTTTAGAAAATTTAGTTCTCTGGTTTCTGAGCTTACCAAAGAGTAGAAATAGCCATAAGGATTGGAGGAGAAAGAAAGGTTGGGCAGTGGGAAATGTGGAGAGTGCCCCTAGAGATAAACACTGGGATACAGATAAACAGTAAGGGAAAAGATGTCAGCTGACCGCTTACCATTGCTGGTAGAGAAAGATAACACCCACACAAAACCTAAGAAGTCTGGGGCCATTTAGTTTTGAGAGCAATAGTGCTACATATCTCTACAGCTCCTGAGGCCGTAACTTCATCACAGTATGAATAATTACAGAATCAGAAGGCTTAAAGCTGAAAGGTTCCTTAAAGGTCATTTATTCTAATCTAAGTGGCTCAGCAGATAGAATGCTGGCCCTGGAGTCAGTAAGACCTGAGTTCAAAGCTGGCCTCGGACACTTATTAGCTGTGTGACCCTGGGCAAGTGATTTAACTCTCTTTGCCTCAGTTTCCTCATCTGTCAAATGAGCTAGAGAAGGAAATGGAAAACTATTCTAGTATCTTTGCCAAGAAAACCCCTTATAAGGGTCAGGAAGAGTTGGACAAGATTGAACAGGACCACTACCACCACCACTAACAACACCTCTCCTCACTTTATTGATGAGAAAACTGAGGCTTGGAAAAGTTAAAAGGTCACACAGCAAATGTGAATGGCAAGATTGATAGTAACATAGAAAACTCATATTCACACAGTGTCTTAAGATTTGAAAAGTGTTTTATATTCATTCATTCATTTAATTATTTACGTGTGTGTGCTTTACATTTAGATTTTATTTGAACCATACTCGAGAACCCTGACTCTTTCAGCTGCAGTCTTTGTGCTTCGCTTAAGCAAAAGGGAGTCATTCTGAAATGTTTCCTTTTGATTCCAGAATTTAAAATTATGCCTCAGGTGGCAGAAGTGTATGACTCACTGATGATTCTGGGGAGGCAGTGGGCTGTTATTAATACTGACTTTATCCAGACACTCTCAGGAAGTGGGAAGGAGCTCACTAGAACACTCTGTCCCACAGAAATATGACTAGACTTTTAGGGAGTTGCTTGTATATATCTCTTCTACTGATGTCTGGGGTAACTCTACAGAGCAGGCGTTGAATGTGAGTTACTGCTTACAGCTGGAAGAGACTTAAGAGGCTAAATCTAGTCCAGCTCCTCTTTTTTTGCAGCTGAGGAAACTGAGGCGAAGAAATGTGAAGCACCAGTACCAGAGCCAGGATTTGAACCCAGTTTTTCTGACTCTCAATTTAGCACTCTTTCCTATTACACTATTACACTATTCCTGTGTAAGGAACTAAGAAATTTCAGTTAATTTAGTTTGATTTCTAAATTGACAGCTGCATACAGAAAACAGATGGTGCTTATTAGATATAATCGAACCTGGTACATATTATTACTAATCTTTGGAAAGACTTTTCCTACATTCTAAAGTAAAAGAAAATCATTCTTTTATGTCATATTTTCTCATATGTTACATGTTTTCACTCCCCTCCCCATAACTCTGCAGTTCAGAAGAGATAAGGGTTTTTTTTTCCTGTATATAGTTTTCCCCCAAATTGCCTATAATTCCCAGAAGCAGCAGCATTTCTGAACCTCTGAAAGGTTTGGCAAGAGTAATTGATGATTAATTTTTTAAAAGCTACATTATCAGAAACATATTTTTTAAAAAAATTCAAATTTATTTTTAATTTTTAATTCCAAATTTAAAAAAAAAAACACTTTCTTATTTTTTCTTGTTTGTGTGTGTGTGTGTGTGTGTATGTGTTTTCTTTTTGCAACATGGCTAATATGGAAATATGTTTTATATGACTTCATATGTATAATTGATATCCATTGATTTCCTTTTCAATGGGCAGGAAGGACGGACAAAATTTTTGGAACTCAAAATTTTAAAAAATATTAAAAAAATTTATGTGTAATTGGGAAACATTTTATATATATATGTATGTATGCATACATGTGTGTATATATGCATGTGTATATGTATGTGTGTGTATATATATATATGTGTATTATGTATGTGTATATCTTCATCTGTATCTATAATCTATATATGAACAGTTCAAATCCCAACCTCTGCAGGAGGAGGCTTTTCCTAGTCTTCTCCCAACCTCCATTCCTCCTTCCAATTTCATTTATACTATTCCTCCTGCCATTTACACTACATGTCTTATATATACACAGTTATTTACATGTTATCTCCTCCATTAGAATATGAGCTTGTTCAGGACAGGACTGTGTGTTTGCCTGTTTTCTTATCCCTAGCACTTGGCCCAATGCCTGGCCTACAGCAAGCCCTTACAATGTTTGGTGACTGACTCTAAGCATCACCACATACAACTAACCCAACCCAGTAGAGCTCCTGACATATGGCTAAATCTGGCTCTACCTCCATTCTGCTGAACCCCCACCAAATTCCCTGCTCTGACGTCTTATTTTCAATTTAAAGAAAACACAAAACCAACACCCACCAAGCCACAGTGGCCTTGCAGCAATGTCACAGTATGGTTGCATGGAAGAATAATTCAGCCACCGACAGAAATTACCCACGAATGCTGATCATCTGGGGCCTTTTAGACTATAATATTTTGTGAAAGATTAACACAGGTGCCCACTCTGTAAGCACCTATCCCACTGTGTGTTTTATTACCAGTGTCCTTAGCTGGTCACGCTGCAGTGGCCTGCTGTGTGCAGGGCTACAGTTCTAAGGTTACAGCTACCAAGTGGCCTTAAAGGCCTCAGGGATTCCCACAGTTTCTTTTTTCAAATTCTATTTCCTGAGGCTGCTTCTTGATTCAGGTGCTCAAGTTGCCTTAGCAAACTGCAGCTGCTATCTTTAAAAAACAAGCTCCAAAAAATCTTTAGTCATGCTGCTGCAAAATGTCAGTAGAATAAATTTCTCTGCAGTTTAGTTACTTCAGCCTACCCTAGCGAGTGACTGCAGTGTCTTTAGTGAATGTTAACATGGGAAAACAGACTGGTCATATTTTAATATGTTTTTTTCTTACTCATCATCGAGCACTGGGGATGAGCTGGAGAGAATCCTTATCCTGATTGCAACATCAGATAGCAGGATTTTCATCATCTGTTTTGAGCTGAGACTGGGGGGTGGGGTGGGGGAGCAATAACCTATTTAAAATATACTAGGTTGGTTTTTTTTGGGGGGTTGTCATTGAAGTTTATTGTCAGGCGACATGGTCAGGCCTTCTATTTAGGAAAATGACTGTGGTAGCTGAGTGGAAGATGGACACAAGTGGGGAAAGGTTTGAGACAGGGAGATCAATAATAAAACCATTGAGGGGGACCTCCCATCCTCCCTCCTCCCAAATCAGTGGTTATTTCTTTAGTGGGAAATTAATTTCCTTTTTATTCTCACATAGACTATTTGCTTTGCATGATCAGTCTGATAATGCAGCAGCTTGGTTGAAGTGGGAATGGGGATGGCCAGGCCACCTCTAAATTTATAGTCAGTCAACTACAGAGTAGCTGCAGAAAGAGCAGGTGTCCTGATCCTCTACTTTGGGACCTCACAGTACTTTCACAGGAAATGAAAGCTCAGAAGTATGAGATAAGGGCAGAAGGAAGTGGGACAGAGGGTAGTTCACTCTCTGGGGAGAGTGAACTTAGCAGGTTGGTAAGTGATAAGAGGGAGAGTCTGGACTGCAAGGGATGCCTTTGGTTTGGCAAAGTTTCAAAATGAGCTATGTTTGTTGCCTCGTTAAAAAGATGGTTAGGTTGTAACTTCCCTGAAGGCAAGGGCTGATTGCCTCCGTATTTTCTCCTAGCATTTGGCAGAATGCTTTGTATGTAGCAGTTATGGACAAATGTCTGTTGAATGGTGAAGGCAGTATGTTATTATGGAAAGAACTCAGGTCTGGAGTCAAGGAACATGGGTTTAAAGCCTTCCTCTGATGTTTGGGGCCTTTGTGACTTTGGGTAAGTCATTAATTGTTCTTAACCTTCAGTTTTCTCATCTGTAAAATGAGGGAGTTGGTCTTGGAGGTGCTTTCTACCTTCTGAGCTGTATATCTATGAATGGTAAATTCTGGGGAGTTAGGCACCTTCTGAGGAACATTAAAAATATGTTTCAGTCATGTCTCACAATTTTTTTTAATCAAGCCAGCACTTTAATTCTGTCTCATAGGAAACTGTCTTCCATTTCAAGACTGCCCTTCAAACATGTGACTGTTTTTCTCTATCATATTCTTTCGTTCCCTTCACTCTTATCATTTTCTCTTTACAAATTTTTTTCCTTTTCCCTTTCCCCATCTACTTTCTTCATTTTAAGCTATCTCCTCTATCTTCCCTAACTTACTTTCAAACTTGCAGGTTGGACCTCCAGAGGATGTCTGTTGACTCTGGTTCTAGGGGTAACCCTGTGGATGCCTACTCCTACTGTTGTGATTCATGAGCCTCCACAGTCAGTAGACTTAATAAAATTTTGGCAAAGGCATTTACTAAGATAATATACTAAAAACTGTAGACATAAGCCATTTCCCCCATGAGCCTTAGACATTCTTGACCGTCCTGCTGCTGATCCAATTTTTATACCTTAAATTTATTCCATTAATCAATTATTTACTCAGTTACCTGGTATTTATTAAGCACTTACCAAGGGTGAGGCACTGGACTAGGCACTAGGGATACAGAGACAAAAGTGAAATAATCTCTGCCCTTAAGGAGGTTTCATTTTAATGAACAACAGAAACATATAGAAGCATATACATAATATAGCATACGAAATAATATAAGGTAGCTTGGAAGGAGAAGGCACCAAGAGGTAGAGGAATAAGGATTTATGTAGAAGGTGATGCTTTAGAGAGTCTTGAAAGAAACCAGGTGGAGGTGAGAACGGAGTGGATTTCAGACATGGGGCTAACCAGTGCAAAGGAATGGAAACTGACTAAAGATGGCCTGTTGTGTGTGCAAAATCTCCAGCAGATAAGTATGGCTCTATAAAAGACGGTTTAGGCGAAGAGCATGTGATAAGGCTGGAAAGATAGTAGAGTTCAGGTTATAAAGAGATAAAAGTGCCCAACAGATGTGTTCTGTGCTGGGCCTGACCCCAGCCAGTACCCAGGTAGTATAGGCACAATATTATAACAAAATAAGACACTCATAAGTCATTCAACAGTTAATAAAAAGAGATCTACTTGGCCAAAGCAGAAGAAGGATAGTCAACAACCGAGAACTTTTTGAATTGATTCAGCTGAGTGAACCGTAAGTCCAGCATCTCAGGGACCCACCAGCTATTCTCAGCTACCTTGTAACTGAGTGATGAGGTAGTGATATTATGACTTTGAGCCTCTAGTTCCTTGTCTCAAGGAATGTCTCAATATGTTTTAAGGAAAAACTTAGGCTGACCTGTATGGGGGGCGCAGAGGGGTGGGGCGAGGTAATGGGGAATCACTGGAATTTATTGGGTAGCAAGGCGACATGTTCAGACTTGTACTTTAGGAAAACCTCTTTGGCAGGTTAGTGGAAAATGGATCAGAGTTGGGGAGAGAATTGAGTCTGGGAGAGTAAACAGGAAGTAAGTGAAATAGTTCAGACAAGAAGTGATGAAGGCATGAATTAGAGCAGTGGCTAAATGAGGGGAAAGAAAAGGATGTATGTGGATGTAGAGATAGATGTAGAGATAGAAATGGCTTGGGGCTGCTAGGTGGCACAATGGATAGAGTTTTGAGCTTGGAATCAGGAGGATCTGAGTTCAAATTTGATCTCAGACACTTGACACTTACTAGCTGTGTGACCATGGGCAAGTCACTTAACCCCGACTGCCTCACCAAAAAAAAAAAAAAAAGAAAGAAAGAAAAAAAGAAATGGTAAGATTTGGCATCTGCCATGATGGTGATGCCTTCCATCGTGATAATGACGTTTGGAATAGGATGTGGGGTAGAACAATAATGGATACATTGAATTTGAGATGCTGAGAGGACACCCTGTTCAGAGGCAGTTGGTGATGTAAAACTGGAGCTTAGGAGACAGGATAAGCCTGGATAAGAGATCTGTGAATCATTTACATCGAGATTATAAGTGAACCCTAGGGAGCTAATGAGATCATCAATGAAGGATAGGTTGAAAAGAGAAGAGGGACCAGGCATAAGCTCTGGGGGAAGCCATGGTTAATGGATGTGACATGGATGAAGATCCTGCACAGAAGCCAGAGAACGAGCAAACTGGAAGGAAGAGAATCAAGAAGGAGCAAAGTTACTAAAACCTGAGAGAGGGAAGGATATGCAGGAAGAGAAAGTAGTCAAGGTATCAGATGCTACAGTAAGGTCAAGAAGGATGAGAACTGAGAAAAAGTTGTGAGATTTGGAAATTCAGAGATCACTGGTAACCTTGGAGAGAGAAGCTGCCGTTGGAGGGTGAGGCTGGAAGTCAGACTGCTCAGTATTTAGAAAAGAGTGAGAGAGAGAAGCAAGTATCCAGGTAATAAGTGTTGGTGATTTTTCCAAGGAGTTTAGTTGGAATGAGAGGAAAGATAAGATAATACCTTTTAGGTATATTAGGATCTAGTGAGGTTTAAAATTTTTTTTAATTAATTTTAAACTTAAATATATAAAGACAAAAAAAAGACTATTTGCATGTATATAGCACAACCTAAAAAGAAGATTTACTACAAAACCATAACTTAACATTTCACACTGTTGTTTTGTTTTGTTTTGTTTTTTGGAAAAACTAAATAAACACTACTTGTCATTTTCAATGCTACTCTGCTTTCTATGCTTCCTTTCACATTTTCTTTTCTTCTCTGCTGTGCATTTTTTTATATTTTCCCCTCCCCTCTCCACCCTAGAGATGGCTACCATTAGACATAAATATGTGCATATATATATATATATACATACATACATACATACATACATACATACATATATGTAAAACCATACTATACATATGTCTATCAGTTCTTTCTCTGGAAGCAGATAGCATCTTCCTTCATAGGTCTTTTGTGGTTAATTTGGGTATTTATAATACTTAAAATGATTTAGTTGCTCAAAGCTGTTCTTAAAATGAGATTGCTGTTACCGTGAACAATGTTCTCTCGGTTCTGCTCATTTCCCTCTTCATTATTTCATGCTAGTCTTTCCATGTTTTTCTAGAATCACAGGTATCTGAAGCTGGATTTGAATTCTGGTCTTCCTGACTCCAGGACTCATGTTCTGTCCATTGTGCCGCCTGGCTGCCCTGAGGAGAGAATAGTGGGAGCTATAAAGAGTTAAAATCTCATCTCAACATACAGCAAAACTACTGACATTTATCGAACATCTTAAATAGTTTGCAAAACACTGCTTCATGCAGTAGTGGGTTGCCTGTCACTAAAAGTTTTAAGGTTAGGCTTTTCATTGATGCTTAAGAAAGTATTCCTGTCCAAGTATGGTTTAGACGAGATTTAAGGGATTTGACAGTAAAGGAGAATTTAGAGTTGAATTGGCTCTCTAAAAGGGTTGAGATTGGCAAAGAGGGACTGGCGGATGTGGAAGTATAGCCATTGGTGTGGGATGATGGTCTGGTGAAGTACTGAGGGATGGAGAGGTTGTAGGCCACAGTGAGCCCAACAAATATGTTCGGGGAGGAATAAAGCATAGGGAGAGATGAAATGATAGGAAACTGTGACCAGATAAAAGATTTCAGAGTTATCATTTGTGGAAGTAGAGCATCTGTGGGTGATTGTAAGATAAAAGGTGAGACTATCTCTCGCTATAGCTGAGGTGGAATGGAAGAGTAAGGTCATGGGAGTTTAGTAGATTGAAGAACTAGGAGGTTTGGGTATTTGAGGGAATATTAATGTCAACATATAGGTTGGCATCTTCTAGTATAAGGAAATAAATTGGGATGGAGAGGTAAACTATGATCCATGCATGCAACATATTGAGAAAGGACAAAGAAGGTCTGCTGGGGAATGACTATGGTAGTTCAGTTATATCTGACTCTTCGTGACATCGTGGACCATGCTGTCCATGGGGTTTTCTTGGCAAAGATACTGGAGTGGTTTGCTGTTTCATTCTCCAGTGGACAAAGGTGAACAGAGGTTAAATGACTTGCCCAAGGTCACACAACTAGTAAGTTTCTGAGACTGCATTTGAACTCAGATCTTCCTGACCTCAGGCCCAGCATTCTATCCACCTCGCTGCCTCCTTGGGGAATGACTATAGGCAGAGTGTCAGGGGATGGGAGAGAGTTCTATTGATGAAGGCTGATGAGTAGTAAGTTCTGTCTGGACTTGCCTCAAAGTCTAGGCATCATGACTGCTGTAGTGAGCCTGGTGCTCTTGGCCTTGGAAAGAATTTCTATTCCTCACCTTAACATCTTCCATACCTGTCTTATGCCTAACTGACGGGAACACAGCAGGTAATGACAAAAACATAAATTCAGTCAACAAACATTGGTTAAATTTCCACTATGTGCAAGATATTAGGCTAGTTATTGCTATATAAGACCCAAAATGAAAACCAGTCTATATTCTAGAGCTTATGGGGGGGCGGGGAGGGAAATCAACCGAAAATGTGTGTGTATATGCATATATGTATACATGTGCATATATGTATGTGTACACATAAACACATGCACATAGATACCAGCACACATACATACACATGTGTACATATATGTACTTATATACATGCACATATGTTAATCAAGTCTAACTGGGGACGGATGGGTGGTGTATTGAGCTTGAAAAGAGCTTCCTGTGGCTTCCAGCCAGCCTCATGTGACTCAATGCTTGGGTTTTTTGAGTAACACAAAGCAATTCTATTATTGATCACTGAGCAGGAAGAGTTGATGACTCAGTGGACCTTTAAATAGTCAGTGATTCTGTCCCTGGCTTTCTTCTTTTGACTGTCCTGGTGGCATCATATAACCATATAACTCTGAGGCTTTCTATGAAGGATAGAGGACCAGCTCTTATTTAGCCCAGGAGAATATGT